ATGCTCCACCACGAAACCTAACCAGTCCCTGAACCCCAGATGAATAGAGAAATGTCAGTAAGTGTCCTTTAAGTCCAGGGACCACATCCAGGCACTTGGCTCCAACAGAAGCTGGACCCGAGACATAGTGGTCATTCAAAAGGAGAGGTAAGGAGTCCAGGGGTTCAGACAGGACAAGTCCAGAATGAACCGCAGATGATCTGCACAGTCCTATTTCAGCACTAGAAAAGGGGCAAGAACTGAACTAAACAACCTGACAGATGGGGTTGTTTCGATTGCGTCCAAGCGCACCCACTCCGAGGTGACCCGACGAAGCACAGGGTAAGAAGCCTGCCCCGTCAGCCCAAAATTCCCCGGAAGAGGAGCCACCCAACGCCATCACAGGCCGGATGTCACGACCGAAAACACCCACAAATCGTGAGACAGCGCAAGCAAACAGAGCGAACCTCCCCCTCCCCCCCTCATCACCCCATCACGGGACAAACAACAAAAGGGCTGATGCCCCTTATGAGAAGCCGGCTGACGCCCCTTACAAGAAATCGGCCGACGAACAGAGCGATCACTGTGCCAACCAGACGACGCCAGTTCCAAAGTCAACATCGGCTCAGAAGCTGGCACCACTGGCCCACCTGGACCAGTGTAACCTCGAGCCCTGACACGACCCTTCCGAAAAGACCGAAATCGGCCACCCAGGAGAACCAACACGTCCGACATAAGACAACAACTAGATGAAGCCGCCTGCAGAAATTGCGTGACAGCAGACTTTGCAAATAGCAACAGATAAAACAGCAAGGAAAATCTAAGAGCCGGGCCCCAAGTGGATTCCAAATAGAGGGTGAGCACAGCCTGATGGCACACGTGAAGCAAGAAGCAAAGAACAGAGACACCACTTCAGGATATGGGCAAACAGCTTCAACAGTGCGGCCGACGCCTGAGCCGCCAAGGACAGCACACCAGACAAAAGCCTGGCACTCAACGTCTCCACATCCTCCTCAAGTCAGGCTGAGGACAGTTCGAGAAGGGAAAAGAAGTGCAAGACCAAAGTCAAATTCCCACAGGCGTGCAAATCCTCAGCAACCAAGGATGCCAAAACCTGTGCTGCTGCAGGTGCAGGTAGAAACCTTCACCTGCAGCTGCACAAGGCCAACATCCCGAGAAAGCACAGGGGCAAACAAGCAAACATTAAGGTGCTCAAACTCGCCCCCCAGGTAAACCCGCAGAATGGTAGAAGTTTCTCGCCAGTCTAGGAGGAAGCCTCAGTAGGAGGAACTGGCTCGAATGCCTCCGTCCTCAACCTGAACGGGGCAGCTCCCGAAGCTGCCCGAGTCCCTTCACCTGGACTCCGAAACCCTCAGACATTTGGGAGCCGGAAGCAGGGGATAAAAGGGCAGCAGGGTGAACAACAAGGAAAGGACCAGGGAGTGCAGACTGAACAAAAGTTGAAGCAACTAATGCCCCAAGGTCTGGTTCCCTATAACCAAAGCGGGGTAGCCACAGGGCATCCAGGTGGGAAACCAATGTAGCGCGTTGCAGCAACCTAAACCTAGCATGCAATGCAGATGCTGCCTGTACCCAAACAGTAATGTCATCAGAATAGTACTGATGGGGGCCAACAGGGCCCAGGACCCCCTAGTTAACCCCTCCCCAGCCCCAGGAACCCCTACAGCAGGACCCAGGGCTGAGCCATCCCCCAAAGCTCGTCCTCAAAAGAAGAAGCCGGAGCAGCCAAAAAACCAGGAAGGAAGGGGGCCCACTGGTCAGACCCAAACGCTTCGGCAGGAGGAACCAGCTCAAATGCCTTCATTGCCACCCCAGAAGGGGCATCCCGTGAAACCGCCCGAGTCTCAAAACTAATTAAACCCTGCTCCAACTCCGAAACCTTCAGACATTTTCAGAGCTGGAGAAAGGCGTGGGGGGAGGACCAAGACGAACCACAGCCGGGAAAGGACAAGGAGCTGCGGACTGAACCAAAGTCGAAGCGACTAACACCTCCCAAGTCCGGGTCCTGATAACTAAAAACAGGGTAGCCTCGGGGCTTACGGGTCAGCAACCTACCTAGTGCGCTGCAGCAACCTAAAACAAGAGTGCAACGCCTGAGCTGCCTGCACCCAAATAGTCATCAGTGGACTGGTAATTTGATATTATTATCTGCGTCACAAACAAGCAACAAAACTCGCAGGACTCTGGGTCGAAGGCCTCACCGACCCACAGGCAGTATGACGGAGGCATAAATGATGAAGGTCACCCGGAGACAAGGGGACCAAGCAACCTTCAAACTCGCACACGGCAATAGGGGACTCAGGGGTCACATACATTGGACCAAAGCGCCCCCATGGGGTTTCCCATGGTCCTGAGACAGAATTCACACTCAGGAAAGCCCAGGCAGGGTACTGCTAACCGACACCCAATATTACCAACAAACTGCTAAAGCTGCTGCACCCCCCCCCCCTGGGACGTGTACACTCACGAGGGCCTGGCGGGGAACCACCAGATACAAGAGGGTGAGACCAAAACCATGGGGCAGACCACCCACCAGGCAAGAAACAAAAACAAAAGAAAAACCCTGCAAGAGAACAACCTACCCAAGCAGAACAGAGCCGGTCGCTATGAGAGGTGACAACTAGCTGCACAGTAACCCTGTGCCCCAACCAATGACAAATACTACCCCTACCTAGAGGCAAATGGGAGTGAAGGACACACTCCAGCTGACTGCAAGGGCAGCCAATCACCAAGCAGCAAAAGACCTTACTGAGATAGCCCCCCAAGGTGACTTGTGAAAAATAGCCCCAAGGGCAGTACTTACTGGGCACCAAGGGACGGTGACATTGGGCGTATGCATCCTGAGTACTTGTAAGATTACTCCTGGCTCACACACCATCAGAGAACAGCGTCACACCATAAGGCACAGAGCCGTAGGACAAAAACAGGAGCTAGAGTCACAGGACCATTGCCAATCATATCAGCTGAAGAACTGCAGGATGGATAGCCAGCGTGAGGTCTGGAGCTCCCACTTCCCCCTCCTGGGGAGAGTGTGGGGGGGGGGGGTTGGTTTGTACAAACAGGCTTATCTTTCTGGGTGCCTTCCTGAGGTTATCTAGAGATGATTTTGGAGCTTAGCGTCCCAGTGGCCTGGTCTTCGACCAGACCTCCTTTTTGTCACACCCCCCCAGGAAGCAGGCCGTAGCAGCTGTCTAACTCCCAGGTACCTATTTACTGCTAGGTAAAAGGGGCATCAGGGTGAAAGAACCAGGAACCTTAGGACTACGAATCCAAAGCTCTATCCAGTCGGTTGTTAGGCCTGACCCGGTCAATGGCAGACATGGAATGCTTCCAACCACACGTGGGGGTTTCCATAGACAATTGCTCCTCGTGCATCTCTGAGGGCCCAGGTTCTGGCTCGTGGTCCCTGGTAGGCCTAAGAACTCCATTCTCATGACTAATGCCAAAGTCTAATATATCCATATCAGCTTGGATAGCTTCGAGAAGCCAAAGGGGCTCTCTCCCAGAAATCCCTACAGAATTGGTTCCCGAATGCACCAGGGAAGAGAACCTTAACACGTAAGGGTAGTATTCACAGAGTGCTTAGGGAAGGATGCCCCTAGGCGCATGCAGCCCTGGTACACTTGAGGACACCTGGCCACCACACACGACACCGCAGAGGACACAATGAAGGTAAACTCTGCTTGGAAACCGAGGTCATACACACTGAGGTGGGGGGGGGGGGGGGGGAGCTGTGAGGACTAGCAATGCGATGGCATGGTGTGATGTTTGCTTTTTTTCTTGGGAACTGAAGGAATTCTACCTCTCTGCTCGGCTTTTGTTTCCATTTTTTTACCTTGTGGGGGTCTGTTTTGTTACACCTACCAATCTGGGTGCTTAGCCCCGGTCGATAGCAGATAAGATAATCCCCCAACCACAGGTTTTCCCAGGGCCATTGTTCCCTGCACCTCTCTGAGGGGGCCAAGTTCTGGCTCATGGTCCCCAGTAGGCAGAACTCCATTGAATAAAGCCCTGGTCTAATGTATCGCATATAAGCCTGATAGCTCCAGTGAGCCGAAGGGGCTCCCCACAGAAAAGTGAGGGGAAGGTAGTTTCATAAAATTTTGTTTCTTTTCATTGTTGGGGTGTTCTTTTGCCAATTTGGGGCCTGTGGTCTCTTTTTTTTTTTCTTTTTTTTTAAACCATGCAGTGAGCTGTTTTGATTCACCTATCTTTCTGGGGGCCTTTCCTAGGTGGAGGCAAAGACGATAACCTTTAAAATTTGATATGAATAAATGGATGAATAGTAGTCCCAACATTCACTCTCCTTTGGATATAGACTGTGTTAAGAGTGATAGCATCCGGATGAATACCCTTATTACCAACAACTCCAGTTCTCAAAATTCCAGGATGACAGAAAGGACAACTGACCATAATTCCCTTGAATACATCCCCTCAGGAACATTGGCAGTCGGGAATAGAAGTGATATGGTTAGGAGGTAAAGAAGCACAAGCGGATTGTATCCTGGGTAGCAACCATACTAGTAATTGAGATGAGTATGAAAGACTTTAATTTAAAAAATTTATATAAAATACACAAATACACAAGTATGGGTTTTTATTCTATTATCATTATTATTATTATTATTATTATTATTTCTATTATCATCATAGTATAGTAAAATCTGTTGCTAACAATTACAAACCTGGATCTCCCCTATGATGTTAATGCAACCATTATATAATTCCCATCATCAGGGACAGGAAGCCTGTATCTCCTGGGACTGCAACCCACAATAATTGCCTAACTCCTGGGGTACCTATTTACTACAAAGTGAAAAGAGGCATCAGGTGGAAATAAATATACCCAATAATTTCTGTCTAGCCCAGGGATTAAACCCTTGTTCCTCCTTTATGAGTCGAGGACATTGACCACTTTGCTACAGGACCCATTACAGGAATGGTCGTGTCATTTGATCCGATGCCTTTTATAATTGCCAACAGTATTATATGGACCTTACCTTTGATGACAAGGCTGCTGGTATATATCAAGCTGGAAGTACTGGTTGTTGTGAAGGAAGCACCTCCGCTTCTTATATATTTTCAAGTGATGCTCATCTGCTTGCGCTGACATATTGTTCCAATCTCGTTGGCTGATGGGAGTCTTAACTTCCACAATCTGCCCCAGCTGCTCTGGCTTGCGTATTGTGTGTGTATAGCTGTGATGACCTGCAGGACAATGCTTATGTTAAATTATATTATCTGAGCTTCAAGGCCAAGAAACCAAATATGTAAGGAAAACAGTGTTAAGAATTTTTAATTCAACAGTCATTAACCAGCCCGTTCTCACAATACAACGTGCATAAAAAATGAAGTGATTATGTGTAACCAGCACAAAAACCTGGGCAACCCACCTAACCCAACCAGGCTGATGCACATTACTTCCAGAAATATTACATTTTATGGTGCTTTTTATTTCACACATTTCATATTTTATAAGATACGTGAATTTAAGAGACAATTCTATAACCAATGTTCCAGCCATGTGTAAATATTTCATTCAAAATGATCTGCTACCAGAAATTTTAGCCAATTATCCACAGTTTGCAAACTGTAGGTAGTAATTAAGTGATTGTAACCTATTGTATCCACCGCTGCCCACTGGATGGGGGGCGGTGTGCAGGACAAACATATCAATTGTGACACTAGCTCTTCACATGTCAGTTGCTTAATTTAGAACCTGTACTTGAGGTCGATCTCGAACCCATTGTTGATGTGACAACTTATATTGAATTTTGTAACAAGTTCATCAAGATTGTAACTTGTTTAGCTAAATGAATTGTGGAGTTCAGTCCCTGAGCCCATTATGTGCCTCTGTAACCCTTTCCACTACCGCCCACAAGGTGGGTATGGGGTGCATAATAAATGAACTAAACTAAAAAAAACTTTATTTCACTAAAGCACCATCATTTTAACACTGTGGTCGATAGGGTACAAATTGTTGTGAACAAAGTGTGAGGACAGGTTGAAGAAATAAAAGTACTGTACTGTATATAAATAATAAAGTAACAGGATGTAACTATTTACTAATGCAAAATTCCCTTGTAATGTTCTCACTAAAATTATATTTACTTAGTAATTTTAGTTTTCATAAAAATCTCAATTACCATATATTTCATGCAATGTATTGTGCTATATTGTATTGTACTGTATATGGTGATGTGTGGAGTGCTGCATTGTATATATGGTGAGGGAGTGCTGCACTGTATTACTGGTATATACACGGTGGTGGGGAGTGCTGCATTGTATATATGGTGAGGGAGTGCTGCATTGTATCACTGGTATATACACGGTGGTGTGGAGCGCTGCATTGTATATATGGTGAGGGAGTGCTGCACTGTATTACTGGTATATACACGGTGGTGTGGAGCGCTGCATTGTATATATGGTGAGGGAGTGCTGCACTGTATTACTGGTATATACACGGTGGTGGTGTGGAGTGCTGCATTGTATATATGGTGAGGGAGTGCTGCACTGTATTACTGGTATATACACGGTGGTGTGGAGCGCTGCATTGTATATATGGTGGGGAGTGCTGCATTGTATCACTGGTATATACATGGTGGTGGGGAGTGCTGCATTGTATCACTGGTATATACATGGTGGTGGGGAGTGCTGCATTGTATCACTGGTATATACATGGTGGTGGGGAGTGCTGCATTGTATCACTGGTATATACATGGTGGTGGGGAGTGCTGCATTGTATTACCAGTATATACATGGTGGTGGGGAGTGCTGGATTGTATTACCAGTATATACATAGTGGTGGGGAGTGCTGGATTGTATTACTGGTATATACATAGTGGTGGGGAGTGCTGCATTGTATTACCAGTATATACATGGTGGTGGGGAGTGCTGGATTGTATTACCAGTATATACATAGTGGTGGGGAGTGCTGGATTGTATTACTGGTATATACATAGTGGTGGGGAGTGCTGCATTGTATTACCAGTATATACATAGTGGTGGGGAGTGCTGGATTGTATTGTATACATTGTGGTGTGTGGAGTACTGCATTGTATTGAATACATGGTGGTGTGGAATGCAGCATTGTATTGTATACATGGTTGTGGAATGTTGTATTATATTGTATATATTGTGTACAATACTGTATTGTATTACATACAGTATGTAGTGCACACTGTATTATATACTATGAAATGCTATATTGTGTACTGTGTGGAGTATATATATTGTGTATACTGTGTTGAGTATATATATTGTGTATACTGTGTGGAGTGTATATTGTGTATATGGTGTGGAGTGTATATTGTGTATAATGTGGAGTATATATTATGTATACTGTGGAGTACAGTGGAACCTCGGTTTTCGTATGCCCGTTTTCGTATTTTTCCATTCTTAAACTAAATTTTTTCGCAAAATTTATTCGGTACTCATTGTTTGCCTCGGTTTTCAGAGTTTGTTTATAAATGTGTGGTTCTACTGAGCATGTGGCGCTTCAGTTTACCAACGTCTCCCACCTAGTGATGATCGTATTTGAATTCTTTGAGAAGAATTTAATTGTTTTTGCACTTTTTTGGTTTCTGAACACAAAGTGCTTATTATATATCACACAATGGGTTCCAAGGAAGTCAGCGGTAATGGTCAACCTAAAGAAATAGTTGTGAGGATGACAATAGAGGAAAAACAAGAGAACATTCATAGTGAGACAATGTGATGTCTCACTACAGACAAGTGTTAAAATGTAGGGAAAACAAGTATCTATAGACAGTCTTAGTAAGACAAGCAAGCAGTGAGCCACAACCAGGTCCTAGTGGTATGCTTGCAAAATGTAAAAGAAAGAGTACCCCAGAAATGTCATCACTGCTGTTATAATGGAAGGGGGACTCCCATTCCAAACACTAACACCTCTCCTCCTCCCTCCTTCCTCACTGTCTTCCATACACCAACAAGAGTCCTCAATAAAGGTACCTAGGAGTATTATTCTGTAAAAAATGTATTTTTTTTTAGTTAGTATATTTGGGAGTGTGGAACCGATTAATTCAATTTACATTATTTCTTATGGGAAAATTCGTTTCGGTTCTCGTATTTTTCGGTTTTGGTACCGTCTCTGGGAAAAGATTGAATACGAAAACTGAGGTACCCCTATATATAATGTGTATACTGTGGAGTATATACAGTATTGTGTATATTGTACTCGCCTAGTTGTGCTTGCGGGGGGTTGAGCTCTGGCTCTCAACTGTCAATCAACTCGTGTACAGATTCCTGAGCCTACTGGGATCTATCATATCTACATTATGTAGTATAGTGGAGTGTGTGCAGAGATCCTTTACTGCTAGAATCCACTTAGTAAAACATCTAAGCTACTGGGACCGACTAAAGAGCCTAAATCTGTATTCTCTTGAGTGCAGGCGGGAGAGATACATAATAATTTATATGTGGAAAATACTAGAGGGGCTGGTCCCAAACCCTGTACACAGAAATAACATCACACGAGACTAGAAGGCATGGCAGGATGTGCAGAATACCCCCGTTGAAAAGCAGAGGTGCAACAGGTACTCTGAGAGAGAACTATCAACATCAGAGGCTCGAGACTGTCCAACACGCTTCCACTACACATAAGGGGCATAACTGGCCGACCCCTCACAGTGTTCAAGAGAGAACTGGATAAGCACCTCCAAAGGATACCTGATCAACCAGGCTGTGATTCGTATGTCAGGCTGCGAGCAGCCGCATCCAACGGCCTAGTTGACCAGTCCAGCAACCAGGAGGCCTGGAAGATGACCAGGCCGCAGGGATGCTAAGCCCCGGAAGTACATCAAGGTAACTTCAAAGTAAGGTAGTGATGTATACAATGTATATAGTGATGTGGTAGATACTGACTCCATACACAGTTTCAAATGTAGATTTGACAGAGCCCAATAGGCTCAGGAATCTGAACACCAAATTCATTCAAAAGGTGAACTTTTGAACAAAAGGTGATTCAAAAGGTGACACCCCTAGGGTCAACACTTGCAGCAGAGGAGCTCCAGCATATTTCAACAATCCTAAGTATTGTAGTACAGGTTGATGGTAGTGAGTGGTGTCCCAGAGAACATAAAGGTATAGTGCTCTTGAAAAATAGGTGAGATAACAGGAAAGTGCTAAGGGAAGTGAAAAATCGGATGAGAAAAAGTTGCCCTAGTGTTTACAGTGCAGAGAAGAACATTCAAGATGGCCACTGGCAAGGGGAAAAACAAAACAGAGCTTGATTTTGAGGGATTCAATGAAGAAAGCATTGATATTAGTAGTCTACATAACAAGTTGGTAAATTTAGATACTATAGTGAACTCTCATGTAGAAATAATTAGTAAATTGAAAGAAAGTAATGACCATTTGAATAGCAAAGTTTTATGTCTTGAGGGTTTAGTGAAAGACTTGTGCAAGGATAAGAATCAATTGGAAACAAATTGCAAAGCCATGGAAGAAGAAAATAAACTCTTAAAAATAGCTTTGGAAGAAGTTAAAGTAAATTTAAACATAAATGACTACAATAGGTTAGGCAAGGAAATTCAACAGGAGAAACAGCTTTTGTCAGCACAGATGGAGGAAGTTACACAGGGAATAGAACAGTGCAAGAAAGATATGCAACTCACTTATGCACAAGTGGCCAAGGAGAAGGAAAAAATAGAAGAAGCAGTAAAGGAAGTCAAACACTGCAGCAACCAAGATAAAACAAACATTAGGCTAGAAGTGAGGAAAGAATTGGCATCTAACCCGAAGTTGGTGCAAAACACAGTTGATCGGAGTAAGTCCCTGATCATTTTTGGCTGCAAAGAAAAGGCGATAACATCTAGGTCAGAAAGAGCTGTAGAAGAAGCTAAAGTAGTAGATAAAATTGTTGGCCTCGTGGAAGGTCTTACAAACAGAGAGAATGTGTGCGACTACAGGAGAATAGGCAGGTACGTAAAAGGGAAAGATCGACCTTTGAGGATCACCCTAAACGGTGCCAAACAGATGGAAGAAGTACTAAGGAATGCTAGAAAATTGCAAAGGGATGAGGATGGGAAAGGGTGGTCGTTAAGACGAGATCTTTCAAAAGAAGATAGAGAGAAGCTGAAACTGAACCTCGCCGAGGCAAAACATTTAAATGAGAGCAGGAATGAAGAAGAAATAAATTCTTTTTTCTACAAAGTGATAGGGGTAGGCAAACCAGTAAAGTGGTACAT